GTGTCACATGCTTTACAACTGTAATAGACGACACAACACAGTGAGAGTCTTGTGAAGACTGGGAACGGTGTGGAGTGAAGTTCTTTCCCCTCCACGTAACTCAATCAGTGCTGAGCTAAGGCTCTATCTGTCCTTTAACTCAGGAGTTCGGAAGGTGAACGTTTCCCTGGTGGTGGAAGTCTGAAGCAGTGACTCTGGGCTTCTCCTGAGGAGTCAGATGTGTTCCGATGAGCACTGTCCTTTAGAAAGTGACCCCGTCTCAGGCTCTCCGCATTTATTCTCGGGATCAAATCATTGTAAAACCCTACCCTTTTATGATTTCGTTCAGATCCTCCTCTGTGAGGAGTGGAAGAACAGAAGGGAAGAAACCATAGAGAAGAACAGAACAAGTTTAATTACTTTATGGTCACAGCGTGGGTCACTGAGGAGTGGGTCATGTTTAACTTCACGCTATTTAATCATCATCGCCGCCGCATCTGCGTAGCTTTTGGCAGATCTCGGGCCTCAGAGGACGTCAGTCCCGTCTGCTCTCTAAGTGCCTACTGAGAGCTCCCTGCGTGCCAGGGCGCTGGCATTGGGCTGTCACAGGAGGACCGCCACTGCTGAGGGAAGTGAAGGGCCTGTGCCATTCCTGAGCATTTTTATAAAGAGGAGTTCCAGACAGTTCTGGGAGAGATGAGCGTTGTCGGGCTGCAGCTCTGACCTCCCAGACATCGTGCCGTGGCGAGGCGCCCGACGGCCCACACATGGGAAAGGGAACGCGGTCGCGGACTGCGTGCGTGCCATTCACCAGGGCCCCGGGAAGCGCCCGCCAGCCCCCATGTCCTTAAGCAGGTTTATAGGCTGCGCGCCTCTCTGAAGGTCATGAGGAGGGCTTAATGCGTTTTTATTAGAAATAAAATTTACCGTGGAGTGGCCTTTTCACATCTCATTTGGGTAGTTGAACCGGCAAATTTTACTGTATTTTTATAAAGTCGTGTTGTTTCCTGTTTGCCATTTCCCATTTGAAACGCGTTTCTTACCCAACCTGCCATGGAGAGAGACAGGCTTAAAAGATCAACCAAAGGTCTTGTATGCATGCTTATAAGCTTAACCAAAGGACACAGACACCAGGGTGGTGAGGGAACGAGCTGAAGGGTGGGAGGGGAGACAATGGGGGGATAAGGACACATGTAATACCTTAATCGATAAAGAAAACAATATAAAAAAAGTTGGGGTTGGGAAAAGCTGTGATAATGAACGGGCTCACTGAGTAAAGGCGCGCATGTTGTACGGGTAGCCGGCCTGTGACTCCGGAGCAGCTGCTGCCTAAGGCAGGAAGGGGACGCGAGCACTGAGGCTCTCGCTCTTCTCCGCCGACGTCTGCGGAGGCCTCACGTGTCGGGATCAGAGCCCTGGGTGCAGGCAGCCTCCAGGCAGTAACCGGCTTGCGCCCCAGTGCGATGCCGACCTCCGCTTTGCCAGGAGGACGAGTGGGACAGGGCGTACAAAGTGTCTCGCACAGTATTGGGAGGAGGCATTCAGAATTTCCCTTCCTGGGGTGAGAAGGCTGTGCAGGTAGCCAGGGGACACCCTCTCATGTAAGCTTGAGACCATCAGAAATACATAGAGTAAAAGCCACCGTCCTGTCCCTGCTGGCCGTCCTTTTCACCAGTTCAGTGTGCGTCCTGACTTTGTAAAGTCCTTTGTTTACCTGCATGTTCATCTGCGTTTGTAAAACCACACATGTAGTCATTTTGGCTTAGTTTGCAACACATAGTATCATACTATATGCCTTGTTCCCTGACATTACTTTTTCACACTGTATTTTTTTGGTCTTTCCTGGTATTACAAACAGGTCTACTTCATCCCTTTACTGTGTTAAGGTATTTCATTGAATGGAGGTGTCACCATTTATTCGTTCCCCCCCGGGGGCACATCTGTCCCTTAATGTTTCAGTTCCTGTGTATGGACCAACTGGACAGTAAAGGAAATCGCGGTTTACACTTTGTTTCTTTGCTTTGCAAGGAGAGATTGGCCTCTTGAAGATGCTCAGAGTGCTGAGTCATGCACAGTGTATGCAGATCTCTTAACTGGAACAGTGACCGTGTCGCCAGGAGATCCCTGCTTCAACTTGTCTGACTGTGGGAGTCTGATGGGTGGCCCTTGACTGTCGACTCCGAGGGCGTGGGTGGGTTGCAGACAGGGCGGCCTGTGAGGATGCTGCTGTCACCCGATCATCAGTGTTTCCTAAAACACGTTTTTGTCAGCATCTCTCCTTCATTTCCTTCCTTCCTACCAAACGTTTACTGCCGTCTGCTGTGTACTAGGTCCGGTCCCTGTCATTAGGCACTTTCCAGGGTGGGTCACACATGGAAGAAATAGTGAGAATGACATGTTCTGTGATAAGGAAGAGCTGTCATTAGGTGTTCACACGGCGCTGCTGGCTGCAGAGGGCGCGGCAGGGACCCCTGGCACGTGGACCACCCGGTTTGATTCAGTAAAGATTTGCTGAGAGCTTCCTCACGCCAGCGTTAGAGACACAGGCCGAGAACGCACCAGAGTCACTTGTCCCTTCGCTGGTAGTGTCCTTCTAGCTTTAATCGGTGCAGGAGTGAAGGGAATTGTATGATGAGGATAGTATCATCTGAAGGCAATGGTGGATTTCAGTTTCAAAGTTGCTGGAAAATATTTTGTGTCATATATAGATGATGTGTAGGATAAACATATAGATTCTGTACTCTGGGGACCCTTGCAATCTTAGCAGCTGAAAAATTGATGTTCTAATCTATACTAATAAAAGGGTAATTTGCTAATCAGACTGGACATCTTCCGACGTCCTTCTGGAAAAAGCCACGGTGGTGGGGGCTGAGGCAGAGGTGGTTAGGGGCCATCAGGCCAGCAGGGGAGGGGAAGTTAGGGGCGATCAGGCTGGCAGGGGAGCAGTTAAGGGGCATCAGGCTGGCAGGCAGAGGTGGTTAGGGGCCATCAGTCAGGCAGGCAGGCGAGTGGTTAGGAGCCAGCAGTCTCAGATTGCAAGAGGGTATAGGCCAGGCTGAGGGGCACCCCCCCCACCCCCGTGCACAAATTTCGTGCACTGGGCCTCTAGTATCCTGATAAACCAGAGGTGTGGTTTGCCTGCGTTTTGTGTGTTCATAGATAAGGCCATCTCTTCGCTGTCCCGTGCCTACTGGTCTGCACCTACCTGCCCTCCCACCTTGTCCACGTGCATATGTGAGTGTGGGCAGGGAGCCTGCAAGCTCTCGGAGCTGTGCACTGTGCCCCTCCCCAGGGCAGGCTCTGCACACTCCTGTGAGCTCGCTGTGCAGCAGGATGGCCCAGGGTCCTGGTCGTTCCCTGCTGCCTTGCACACGCCCTGTTGCTCTCTCAGCCTCCGCCCCTCACAGCCTGCACAGCTGTGGGCTCAGGCTTCTTAGACTCGTTCCCGGAAGTCACAGCCCTTAGCCCGGCCTCTGCGCAACTGGCTGCTCCCTCTTAGCGAAGGCAGGAGACCCTAAACGTGCACCCTCTGACCTTCAGCGCGGCCCCCGTGTGAGAGGATTGTTTGTAAACTGCAGATGGGGACACTGGCTGCTTCTCCCCTCAGGCTAAGATTCTACTTTCATGAATTTTATGTATTTTTCTGCTAGAACCCAAGACCCATAGGAAGATGGAAGTGCTTTATGTCAACTTTGCACCAGTACGCAGTACTGAGGCTCCCTGAGATCCTGTATGCAGATCAGGGCGTGCTGCCCCAGGCGTGGAGATTTTGAGACCTTCATGCAGCCACACAAAAGCTGCCTGTTGTTGAAGCCATTGGTAAACATCACATGTCCATGGTCGGTTTGAGGTCTTACATAACATTGTTCCGTCTGAGGAAATGCATGTAGGCCAAACGCTCCGTTATCAGACACTACAGTGTTAATGCTGTTTTGGAAATGAAATTGCAGTTATCTCAAGAGGAAATGGTCTGTTTGAATCCCATAATTTTGGATGCTCTCTGCTTAGAATTTAGGATAAATGGATCTTTCTATTCAATATTTTGTAACCTAAAAAAAAGGAGGGGCCAATTGGATCTTTTAAAAATGTACGGACTTGACTTCTTACTTTAAAATCAGTTAGGAACCTAATTCCCAGTGCATCAGACACCTCCATGGGAAGAGCTATTTTCTTACAGAATAAAAATGGAGCAGAAAATTGGGGTGGCTGTCTGTGTAACCGAGGGGTTACACACACAAACCAGGCAGATCACAGATTTGTCCCTGTGCTGGGCGGCAGGCCGACGTGCGCTCCCTGGGTCGGAGGTGGACTCGTGACCCCGAGTTGGTGGTTTCTGGGTGCTTTCCACAGGAATTGGGGGGTTCCTTAGCCCATGGCTGAGGGTTCCCATGCTTTCCTGTCATTCAGCCGCTGAGAGTGGGCGCTGGTCAGGTGAACGATTGAGTGGCAAATGGTCCTGGTCACGGTGAGCTTCGCAGCGTTTGAGCCGTGCGCCCCGCTCTCGCGCGCTGGAGCAGTCCCCCGGCTGACGTGCAGTGGTCTCCCTTAGAGTCCAGTCCGCACCGGGGAACCGGGCGTCAGAGCTCCTGCCTGCACCCGAGTGGTGGTGGGTGATGCTGGGGAGCATGTTGGCGCCCTGTTGTCCGGGGCGTTGTGGGTGAGCGGCTGGCAGAAGGCTGCCTGGTGTGGCATGGGCATTTGGACGCAGCGCGGACCTCAGGGCAGGTCAGAAAGTGATTCCTCAGGCGGAAGGGAGGCTGATGGGCCAGTGCGAGCACCTGAGCAGGAGAGCTGTTGGGGTGGCTGGTGGCTGCGGGGTGAGGGGGATCTCCCTACAGTCAGACCCTCGGACTGCTACAGGGGAGCTGTCTTCTCTCCCTTCTCCACCCAAAACGCGAACCGTAGTGGGATACGATCGCTTGCCCGTAAGCACAAAACACGGCTCGTAGCTTCCTTGGCGTCCGTGGCTTCCTTGGGGCACGGGGTGAAAGCACCGAGGGTGACAGGCTCCTTCCCCGCAGGCTCTGTTTACGAACCTCTGAAGAGCATCCACCTTCTGCAGCCCGACCATGAAAGTCTGTGGGAGAAGCTGGACCGTTACTACAGGATTGGTGAGCGGCGGGGACGCGCCCTCGGGCCAGCGCTTGCTCCCCTCCGTTATGCGCTGGGCATCAGCGTCATGCCCTCACTGGGCTGTCGGGGAGGGGGGCAGGGGGGTGCGCTGAGGCTGCGCTGTGCCGGCCGCATGGGGTGCTGGGGCTGCAGAAGGAGCCAGCAGTCATATCCATCCTGGAATAGTTGTAGCGCTGCCATCAGGGTCCCTGGTGCCCTCAGGCTTCTGGAACATTCCAGAGGCTTTCCTGAGGGAGCTGGCCCAGTTTGTGGACGGGCTGGCTGCTCATTCACTTAGGCCTGGTTCCCCAGGCAGCCCTGAACCTCGCATAACCATCTCTAACTCATCGCCACACGGACGGTGACCTCGGGTCACTGGCACATAAGTCAGGTCCCTATCCTGCTGGTGCTTTGTTTTCTGTGTGTGTGTGTGTGTGTGTGTGTACATGTGTGTGTATGTGTGTGTGTATACATGTGTGTGTATGTGTATGTGTGTGTGAGGGGGGGAGGTTCCCTCTTTGTCCCTCAGAACTAAGTGGAAATGCCTGTGTTTTGTGTCAGTTTACTTCATGTGCCACATGCTTAGACTGGAAGGGCAGATACTGTAACATTTGATTTATTTGTCTCCCTTACAGTAAGGATTTTTGCTTGTTTGCTTCAACTTTACCTTAATTCAACTTCCTTTGGTCAGGATTCCGGTCTAGATTTTACGTTGTCCTTTATTTCCTCTGTGGTCATCACTGGCTACAGAGATTGGCTGCAGTGGCTTAGCGTGGAGCTATTCCCATATCATCAAAGGTTTTACGCTGCAGCTCAGTTCAGAAACAGCAAAACCGTCAGAAGGGGGCGAGGCGGGGTGGCCGGGGGGCGGGGGCTGTGCCGCTCACGCTTCTCCTGCCTCCTCGCAGTCAAGGCCACGGTGCTGCTGTACCAGAGTCCCACCACCGGCCTCTTCCCCACGAAGACCTGCGGCGGGGACCAGCAGGCCAAGGTCCAGGACAGCCTGTACTGCGCCGCGGCCGCCTGGGCCGTGGCCCTCGCGTACAGGTGAGCGGTGTGCGCTGTCCCTCGCTAGGGAGGGGGGCGTCACCCAGGACGCCGGGTCAGCTGTCCCTGGCTCTGCTGCGGACTCACGGCACCTTCCCGTCTGCCTAAGGGTTGGCACGGGCCTGGTTTTCATGTTTCACGTAATTCCTCACCTCTGGGCCTGCAGATCAGCATTAGGTGTTGGCAGGAGGAACTGCCAGGAAGGAACTGGGAGAAGATACAAGTATGTGGAGGGATAGGTCAAGGCCACAGGGCTCCTGTGCCAGCCCAGCCCCTGGCCTCCTGCTCACGGGCTGGAAGGACTGATATTGTTAAGCTGTCCTGGCGCCTACAGCCGCATACAGACGCATGCAGCCCTGTTAGAGGACCTGCGGCTGCTTCTCAGAACTGGAGCACGAATCCTAAGATGCATCCAGAACTACAGGAGATCCCAAGTAGCTAAAGAAATCTTGAGGAAGTTCAAAGAGGGAGGGATCAGGCTCCCTGATGTCAATACTATAATATAAATCAAAATATAAAATAATAGTCAAATGGTATGGTACTAGCATGAAACATGTATATACTGGTATGTGTGTGTGTGTATATATATATATATAGAGAGAGAGAGAGAGAGAGATCAATGGAGTTGTATGGAGGGTTCAGAAGTCAAGTGGCCATTGTATAACCTAGAAGGATCAATATTAAAAATTGCCTCTACCCTGTAACAGTGAGTTTTAAAAATATCTTGGTAGATTTTTCCAACATAGAAATATCGCTTAAAATTTGAGCCAATTCCATGTGGAAAATATTGTCTGCTATTTTTAGAGCAATTGCCTTCCATCCTTAAAAGAAGGAGAGATCGGCACAAGTTTCATCCTGGGGTTTTTATATTTCTTTGGCAGCATTTCTGCATCTGCCGGGAAAATGGAGCTTCACTGTTAGAGAATTAGTAGATGTCGCCGGAACATGGGATTAGCCAGCTAGTTAAATACGTAATTATCGGCGGCTCAGCTCCCTTCCTAAATCCCTTTCCGATCTCTTCCCTGCGCTATCTCTCCCGCCCAGGCGCATCGACGACGACAAGGGGCGGACGCACGAGCTGGAGCACTCGGCCGTGAAGTGCATGCGCGGGATCCTGTACTGCTACATGCGGCAGGCCGATAAGGTGAGGCGCCGGCTCGGCCCCCGGGAGTGATGAGCCCACAGCAGCCTCTCCCGAGGGGCAGGCACTCAGAGGGCCAAGCACGGCCCCTGCTTGCCCAGTGCGCCCCGAAGTACCGCCTTCGAAGAAACCCTCGCGGCGGGTGGTCGGGAGTTGCTGTTCAGGCTTCAGCCTGTTTGCATTTTGCATCTGGTGTTTGCGCGATAAGGAGTTTCTCGGGAGCCTCGTTATCCGCGTTCTACCCGCTATTACAGTCCCTGAGAAAACCCTCCTGAAAATGCCCTTTGGGCCCAGCCAGTGTGGCTCAGTGGTTGAGCGCCCACCTAGGAACCAGGAGGTCAGGGTTCGATTCCAGGTCAGGGCACAGGCCCAGGTTGTGGGCTCCATCCCCAGTGTGGGGCGTGCAGGAGGCAGCTAATGAGTGATTTTCTCTCATCATCGATGTTTCTCTCGCTCTCTCCCTCTCCCTTCTATCTGAAATCAACAAAAACATATTTTTTTTAAAAAATTCCCTTTGCACATGTGAATACTCTGGCTTAAGTAAACATCACTTTAAAATATAACACTTCATTTACCTGTAAAGAAGACAGGAATCACAGGCTTAGAAAACAGCCAACTGGCCGGGCGGGCATGGCTCAGTCACGAGTGTAAAGGTTTAGGAGTGCATTAGGGAGAGAGATAGAAGCATCAGTGAGGTTTTTCAAGGCCTGGGATGCAGCTGCGTCAGGCCGACATGCTGAGTCGCAGAGCGTGTCATCTATAATTGAAGCGATTACCGTGCGCGTTGTTTTTTCCTGCGCATGTGACGTGCACAGTTTACCTGACAGTTACTGTTTCCTGAGCGCCTGTCGTCTGTGAATCCATCTACTTGCCCCAGGAGGAAGACCTCCTTGAGAGCAGGTAGATCTCAGTGAGCATCGCTGACCACGGGAAAGGATGTAGTAGCGAGGCTTTCTCTGTGGTTGGCTGTAGTCAACTCTTCATTTCCTTCCTAAACACGCTTCACCTTTACTGACTGGCCTCCTCAGTGAAGGCGTCTTGTGCGTGTAGCTCGAGTGTGACTTCAGCGGTCCTGAGCCCTCAGTGACAAAGGCTAAGCGTGTTTTCCTTGTGTGCACGTGGCCGGTCGTTAAAATCAGTGAGCTGTAAGGTGATGCGACGACGTTGGGATTAGGAGTCTGTGCAGACCACAGGGCACAGGGTGGGATTAGGAGTCTGTGCAGACCACGGGGCACAGGGTGGGATTAGGAGTCTGTGCAGACCACAGGGCACAGGGTGGGATTAGGAGTCTGTGCAGACCACAGGGCACAGGGTGGGATTAGGAGTCTGTGCAGACCACAGGGCACAGGGTGGGATTAGGAGTCTGTGCAGACCACAGGGCACAGGGTGGGATTAGGAGTCTGTGCAGACCACAGGGCACAGGGTGGGATTAGGAGTCTGTGCAGACCACAGGGCACAGGGTGGGATTAGGAGTCTGTGCAGACCACAGGGCACAGGGTGGGATTAGGAGTCTGTGCAGACCACAGGGCACAGGGTGGGATTAGGAGTCTGTGCAGACCACAGGGCACAGGGTGGGATTAGGAGTCTGTGCAGACCACAGGGCACAGGGTGGGATTAGGAGTCTGTGCAGACCACAGGGCACAGGGTGGGATTAGGAGTCTGTGCAGACCACAGGGCACAGGGTGGGATTAGGAGTCTGTGCAGACCACAGGGCACAGGGTGGGATTAGGAGTCTGTGCAGACCACAGGGCACAGGGTGGGATTAGGAGTCTGTGCAGACCACAGGGCACAGGGTGGGATTAGGAGTCTGTGCAGACCACAGGGCACAGGGTGGGATTAGGAGTCTGTGCAGACCACAGGGCACAGGGTGGGATTAGGAGTCTGTGCAGACCACAGGGCACAGGGTGGGATTAGGAGTCTGTGCAGACCACAGGGCACAGGGTGGGATTAGGAGTCTGTGCAGACCACAGGGCACAGGGTGGGATTAGGAGTCTGTGCAGACCACAGGGCACAGGGTGGGATTAGGAGTCTGTGCAGACCACAGGGCACAGGGTGGGATTAGGAGTCTGTGCAGACCACAGGGCACAGGGTGGGATTAGGAGTCTGTGCAGACCACAGGGCACAGGGTGGGATTAGGAGTCTGTGCAGACCACAGGGCACAGGGTGGGATTAGGAGTCTGTGCAGACCACAGGGCACAGGGTGGGATTAGGAGTCTGTGCAGACCACAGGGCACAGGGTGGGATTAGGAGTCTGTGCAGACCACAGGGCACAGGGTGGGATTAGGAGTCTGTGCAGACCACAGGGCACAGGGTGGGATTAGGAGTCTGTGCAGACCACAGGGCACAGGGTGGGATTAGGAGTCTGTGCAGACCACAGGGCACACCCGGCCAGTGTGGCTCAGTGGTTCAACATTGACCTATGAACCAGGAGGACAGGGTTCGATTCCAGGTCAGGGCACAGGCCCAGGTTGTGGGCTCCATCCCCAGTGTGGGGCGTGCAGGAGGCAGCTGATCCATGTTTCTCTCTCATCATTGATGTTTCTCTCTCTCCCTCTCCCTTCCTCTCTGAAATCAATAAAAATATATTTTAAAAAGAAAACAGCAGACTGTATAGGTCATTGTGGAAATTAAAGGAATAATATACACAATAAAGCTTTGTAAACGGCAAAGCACCACACACATATAATGAGGTATTTCCCTGCTTGCCTGTATGCCTGTGTCCCGGGTCCTAATATAGTAAGTGTCTGTGAGTGTGTCACGTGTCCCCAAGGCCAGCCCAGGCGGAAGGCTCCTTGCAGAGGTGCACACCAGTGATTACTCGGGCAGCCTTGGGTATGTAGCATTTTGTATGTTTTTATCATGTGAATATTGTATTGTTTTAATTTATGCTTGGAATGGTAAAACATGGGATGGTACGTTTTCTTTTTAAGACCTGTATCTCAAGTTAAAACTTAAAAAGAAAATCACCCATATTCTGCCGTCAAAATATGGCAACAAGAGCATGTCCCTCGCAGAAGAAGTAGATGTGGTCGCAGGCTGGTGACAGGGACACGTGACACACTGTCATTTGTCTGCCGAGACCCGACTCTGCAGGTCACGAGTGTAAAGGTTTAGGAGTGCATTAATATATATATATAGAATATATCATTGATCTCAGGGAGAGAGATAGAAGCATCACTGAGGTTTTTCAGGGATTAGGAGTCTGTGCAGACCACAGGGCACAGGACTTTAAGATTCTAAGCATTTTCCTGCTGTGATCTTTCCTGTTCCCACACCTGTCAGAGCAGGGCTGGAGGGCGTTACTGTAGCCCCCGGATGACCGGGCGAGGCTGACCCAGGGAGCCTGACCCTGGGCAGCCCCCCCCCCCAACTCCCCTCCCCT